ACCTGGCTGCTTCTTGCTCCTCGTGGCCTGAAGGCTGCTGGGAGCAGGGGGTGGGGGTTATTGCATGTGCCCACCCCCTGGGCTCCTTACTGCCGGAGCTCCACTCCTGTGCGCTCCCGTAGGAAATGACCCCTGGTTAAATCACTTATGTGCTATGTATGCCAAATATGCTTGCCCAAGATGTAGTGATGGCCACAAGCTCTCATGGACGATACCTCTATCACTGACTGTTGGTCATGATAGAGTCTTTATGTACATCTCTTGAATACCTGTTACTGGCAGTGGAGGACTGTTGCCTTTGGCTGCTATGCTAGATAGATCTTGGTGTGATCCAGCAGGGTTTTATGTTAAATCCCCTTGCTATACAATTAAAAAGTGTTAATAAAAGGAAATGCTCTTAAAGCCCTGAATGTGTCCAAGAAGCTGTTCTTTCTGTTCTTGCTGAATCAGAATTTGTTTTTTCCTTCATTTAATCTCCCTCTGCATGCTTCCTTTTTTGTAGAACAAAGTTTATCACCAGGTTTAGCTTAACCTTCCTAGAAACAGGTTTCATGTACTAAAATATAACAAATACAAATAAATTATCAGTATGACCCTCACCCCAGGCCAATGACTTAGCACATTTGTCCCTAACATATCTCAACCTTAATGGAGCAGCATACAGGGATCTCATAACATAAGAGAAGCCAATCTTGAATCAGGCCAATGGCCGATCTAGTCCAACACTCTGTCATACAGTGGCCAAAAATACCAGGTGCCATCAGGAGGGCCAGCAGTGGGGCCAGGACACTAGAAGCCCTCCACTGCTGTCCCCCCAAGCACCAAGAATACAGAGCATCACTTGCCCCAGCCTGAGAGTTCCTATCTATACCTTGTGGGTAATAGCCACTGATGGACCTCTGCTCCATATGTTTATCCAGTTCCCTCTTGAAGCCATCCATGCTTGTAGCCGCCGCCACCTCATGTGGCAGTGAATTCCATGTGTTCGTCACTCTTTGGGTGAAGAAATCTTCCTTTTATCTGTTCTAACCTGACTGCTCAGCAATTTCATTGAGTGCCCACGAGTTCTTGTATTGTGGGAAAGGGAGAAAAGTACTTCTTTCTCTACCTATGTGAGCCGCCCTGAGCTCGTTCGGGTATAAATAAAATAAATAAATAAATAAATAAATACCTGCTCTATCCCATGAATAATTTTATAAATCTTGATCATGTCACCCCTCATTTCTCCAAGCTAAAGAGCTCCAAGCGCTTTAACCTTCCTTCATAGGGAAAGTGTTCCAACCTTTTTATCATTTTAGTTGCCCTTTTCTGCACTTTTTGCAATGCTATATCCTTTTTAAGGTGTGATGACCAGAATTGTACACAGTACTCCAAATGAGGTCACACCATCGATTTATGCAGGGTAATTATGATACTGGCTGATTTGTTTTCAATTCCCTTCCTAATAATCCCTAGCGTAGTGTTGGCCTTTTTTATTGCAGTCGCACAATGTCTAGACATTTTCATTGAGTTATCTACTACGACTCCAAGACCTCTCTCTTGGTCAGTCTCTGTCAGTTCGGACCTCATCAATGTGTATTTATATGAGAAATATTTACGTATATGAGACATATTTAGTCTTGTGAACTGAAAACAGATTTTACTCAGGTCTCCCAAGACACACTGGATGGTGCCTGAGAGCTCAAGCGTGGTATCTGGCAGAATATGAAACCTGCCACTGACTGGTGATTTGAGAGAACCAGAGCAAAACACCCCATCCAAACACAGAAACACGGAACTGAAAGGGACCTCAAAGGTCATCTAGTTCAACACTGTACACAATGCAGGAAATTCACAACTAACCCCCTCCCCACATCCCCAGTGCCCCCTGCTCTATGCCCAGAGGAAGGCAAAAACCCTCCAGAGTCCCTGGCCAATCTAGCCTGGAGGAAAATTCCTTCCTGACTCCACAGCGACAATTGGCATTATCTTGGGCATGTAAGAAAGGGCCACAGGAGTAAAAATCAAAACAACCCGACTGTTTATCACAGTTCTCTATGCAAAAAAAAGTAAAAAAGAGGAGAAACAGCACTTAAAAAAAAATCTTCACCAGTCCTTGAATCAACAATTGAAAATCAAACAAAAAAACCAAGCTCTCCATAATTTAAGTCACGTTCCAAATTAAAATAAACCAACCAAACACAGTCTTTCAGGTCCTTTAATAATTATCTCCAATAATAACGAATAGGGTGAAGTCTGGGTTGCACTTCCAAGCCGCTAGGCTGGGAATGGGGGGAGAAACCTTCCACCCTTTTTTTCTTTTCGCCCAGAACTTTTAAACTTTAAAGGGACCAGTCTTAAAAACCACAAACAGCAGAGATAGTTGAATCTGTGTTGCCCAGCTACTCACGGTGCTCAGGGATAGTGTTTTGAGATTAGATTCTTTGATTGGAGTACAGCTCCTGAACTCGTCAATCAGCGCTCGATGGCTGCCCACAAGTGCTCTCGCTCAGGTCCCTGCTTCGGGGCGATCTAGGGTCTACTTGCGTACCACCATATGCAGGAGTTCCCGGATCAAGCCCCCTGCCAAGAGCCTCCCTCCGGGAAGGCTCTATCAGGTCCAGGAAGCCCTGGATCCCCCGCTGGGACCTGGAGATTTGGTGGGAGCTCTCCCGGGAACCTTCTGAAGTCGACGAGTCACAAACCGGAAGTCGTAAATTCTACATTTTAATCATTCTCTGTGTATAGTAGTATTTTCTTTTGTCTGTCCTGAACCTATTGCCCATCAGCTTCATTGGATGTCCTCGAGTTCTAGTATTTTGGAAGAGGGTAAAACTTTTTTGCCTTGTCAACTCTCTCCACCCCATGCATAATTTTAAACCTCTATCATGTTTCCCCTTAGTTGTTTCTTTTCTAAATTGAAAAGTCCCAGACGCCTGAAGTCCCAGACTTTTCCTCATAGGGAAGGTGCTCCAATCCCCTCATCATCGTGGTTTCCCTCCTCTGCACTTTTGCCAGCTCTGCAATGTCTTTTTTGAGATGCAGCGAACAGAACCATGCACTGTATTCCAAATGAGGCTGCACCACAGATCTATAAAAGGGCATTACAATATTGGCCATTTTATTCTCAATCCCTTTCCTAATAATCCTTAACACAGAGCTTGCCTTTTTCACTGCTGCAGCACACTGGGTTGACATTTTCATTGAGCTATCCACCACAACCCCAAGATCTTCTTCCCTCTCAGTCTCAGAGGTTTAGACCCCATTAGCCTAGATCTGAAGTTGGGATTTTTTGTCCCAATGTGCATCATCCTACAATTGGAATGAAGAACCACCACCTGGGCCTGTTCTCTTGCAAAAATTTGTTGGCCTGGTGTTTCCTCAGAATCTCCCTCCTTTTTTGAAAAATAGGAAGACTGCATTGTATAGTAGGGAATGGAGACAGAGCAACCAAAAGGCACCAAACCCATAAAAAATATATTGAGGGTGTTCAAGAGCTTGGAGGGAAAGAACTCAGACAGTTTTATATCCTATGTAAACCGTTGCTCAAAAATGCCAAGGCTTCCCATCTGTTTCATTATGACCGTCTCCATTCCTATATGCATGCTGTATAAATATTATTATCACACCCTTCTATATGTCTATTCTGAATCCAAGGAAATGACTAGTTCTGAAAGAAACCCCACTGCATATTTCATTTTTAACAACTACTGCTTTCTGGCCGAGCAATTACTGAATTCTCCTCAGCATTCTCTATTTTTGATAGATGCGTTTCCATGTTTCTGTAAACAGGAGAGCCCTGAAGCATCTTAAGGACTAAAATTGATTTGAGAACAGAGTGCACATTCTTGTATCTCATTTTCCAAAGAGGCCCATATAATTTTGAGTATCGCTTTCTTTGGGGAAATCTTGAACAAAAAGTATTGATTTTTTTTAACCCCTTTTCTTCCCATTTTTCTAAACATTTTCACCACTGAGGGGAGAGGAAATTCCCCTCATGCCTACCAACGAGGGGGGGGGGGATTCCCCTCAAATCTGAAGGGGGGAAATTCTCTTCAGACTGCAAACACCACAAAGCATTTCTGCCCTTCTCCTTTCCTCCTCTAACCGAAATGCTAAATGTGCCTCGTATTAAAATAAAGAGATTCTCTATCCACACGACTGGTGGGGTGGGGGATGAATTCCCTCAGAAGAAACAGTGAAAAATTATTCCCCTCCCTTCCCACAACACAAGGGAGAAAGTCTAGTACGCATGCGCAACTCCTACCCGAGGGTGGCCGTTTGATATATGGCTCCGACTAGTGGGCGGGGCGTTCTCGCCTTCTCCGCCCCGCCTCCCCCTGACCGAGCGGCCTCAACCGTCACTGGCATCTTTCAAAACGGCCCAATCGGATCGAGACTGAGGGGAGGGAGAGAAACAGGTTCGGCCGTTAAGCCTCGCGCGACTCTGCCGGAGCTGATTGGATAGGGTGCCGCGGCCCCGCCCACCAAGATGGCGGCGCCCATGCCCGAAGGAAAGAGGGTCTGAGGCAGCCGCGGGGGAGATCGCGGGCGCGAGGCTGATCCGACGGTTCCGCTTTCTTTCCCCTCCTCAGGAAGAGAGGCGGGAGCGACCACAGCTGCGAGGCGAGAAGCGGAGGAAGCCCCCTCCCCCCCTTGGGGGAAAGAGGGGGGGCGAGGTGACCCCCCCTTAGACTGTTCGTCGTTCTAAGGTGACTTTAGAAAGCTCCTTCAAGGAGCCCCCCACTTAGGGGGCGGGGATTCCAGTGGGACCTCCCGCCCCCTCCCCCACTCGCAGCCCACATTTTAGTTATTTGGGGGTTTCTCTCCAGGGGGGCTCTGCCTACCTTGGCTGTAAGCCTTCAGCAATTTCCAGCATATTCCAGGATTGCTTCCCCCCTTATTTCTGCTATAGACGACTGTCAAGATCTCCTTTACTTCACTGAGGTCTTCTGTCTTCCCTTGCCCAGATAGCCCCCATTAAAATCTCTCCCCCTTACCCTTTCAGTGCTCCTCTTTACCTTAAACTAAAAACTCAGTCATTACCTTATTTGGATTGCTCTACAAACCAGAGTAGTTGGGGGAGAGGCTCCCTTCCATTGAACGTATGCTATTTAGTGGTCAGCCTAACTCTTCTAGTTCAGTGGGACAAAGCTAGCTTTCTTTGGGAAGCTGGTGTGGGCTTTAGTGATAGATAATTTGGGGGCCCTTCTGGAAAATACCAGCGTCTCCCACCTTAGGTTTTAGTAATGTGAAAAGTGCAAAGAGGTATAGCCTTTGCACGCTTAGCGGCTGAAGCATTCCATAATTTCATCTAAGTATCTAGGATACACAGGTGTCCCCACCCCACCCCGAACCCTTTAGGAAGCATTTCTGTCCAGTTCTCCTTCAACACAGTTGCTCTCATCTTTGCCAGCTCTCTGCCTGGAGTCCAGCCATGGATCTTGTGTTCCTGATTATCAATGGCGTGGGGATGATTCTGGACCTGCTGGTCATCTTGCTGGATGTCAACTTCTTCCTGGTTTCCACGTTGGTTTCCGTCCTGCTCTGGCTCATCGCTTTTGTTTCCAACTTGCCCAATGCCTTGGTGGGCTGCCTGATCCACTGCTGGAATGGGATCGTGTTGTTCTTGCTGTGTGTCGCTGAGGCATTGTATTACCTGACTCTGGGCTCTGTACAGGGCATCTTCAACTTGCTACGTGGTGTGTGCTCCAGCATGGAAAGCTTGAAAGTAGTGGGGCACCTGTTTACCCATGTGATGCTAAGAAGCAAAGAAATGATGCACCGAGGTCTCTGGAACCTGGTGGGATCTGGTCAGTCAATTCTGAGGCAGGTGTGCGAAGTATGTGCCATTGCCATGAGCCTTGTGGCTTACTTTATCAACAGCCTCATCAACATCTGTCTCATTGGGACCCAGAACCTTTTCTCTCTGGTGCTGATCCTGTGGGAAACGATTGTCAGCCCTTTTCTGAGTGTCACAGACATCTTTGCTGCCTTTCTTGCACGTTTGTCCAGCAGTGCCATAGCTATGTCCATCCTCCTGTGGTCTCCTTGCCAGCTGGCGTTTGATCTCCTCACCTCCATGAGCAAGCTGTTGATTAACGTCTTCTTCCTCAACCTTTACGGCTTGGTGTTGCTGTCGGGGCTGGTTGCTGCCTGCATCTTGACCCTCAACCCTCAGCTGACATGGACGCTGGTGGACCAGACGACTGGCTTCTTGAACGCCATGCCTTCCTACCACCGGGTGCGCAGGGACTTGTGCCGCCTCTACCAAGTTGTACTGTTATCACTGGACATGATCTTGAGCTCACAGGCATGGCGCAGGTTGGCAGACTGGGGTCTCCAAATGGCCAACTGGAACAGAGGGGGCAGGGGAGCACACCACCGTGGGGACCAGCAGCAAGAATGGCTACCATTCTTGGCCTATATTCTAAGACTACCTTCTCTTGGGGTCCCTTATCCAAGACGACAATGGTTATCTGCAGCCACTCAGCAGGCTGCGATTCCTGCCCGCCAAGCACAGCAGGTAGCAGCCCAAGGCGGCGGAAACCAGCACGGAAGAGACATTGATCCAGGATCAGGTGCACAGCGGAGTGTGCCAGGTGGGCAGCAGGCCCAACCTCAGAGCCGAGGTCCAAGCACATCACATACCAGACCTGCGACAAAAGAGCAGTTGAACGCTCTAGAAGAGGACAGTGACCCGTGGCTTCTTTTGAAAGAGCAAGAGGAACGGAAGAAGTGCGTTATTTGCCAGGACCAAACAAAGACAGTCTTGCTGCTTCCCTGCCGCCACCTTTGCCTCTGCGAGGAATGTACTGAAATCTTGCTGCAGCAGGCTTCATACCAGCGCAATTGCCCGCTCTGCCGGCAGATGATCCTGCAGACTCTCAATGTCTACTTGTAGGCGCCGCTGGGGATAACTATTATCTACATTCCACCAGACTTTTCAGGCGCACGGAGTTGTGTGTCTCACCTTTGTACTCACTGCTTTCTGCACTGGCTGATGGAGAACAGCTCCTTGCTGATACTTAGCGGCAGCATTTTTATTCCCAAAGAGCCTGTATAATCATTGGAACGTGGAGAATGTCACAAATGTTTTCTTGATGTTCCCAGTTTCCTTTGCTTGCTGCTGCCATCAGAAAGCACACAAGCTGATTGCATTAATCGTCCAAACCGCCACTATTACAAGGTGTGCCGAGTTTTGAGCCATCAAATTGAACTTTCAGAAATGAGGCTTAAAAAGCCCACCAGAGACCCGTCAAGGAGCACTTGTGTAGATAAACCTGGTAAGCATCAAGCTGTTACACGGGGTTCAGCTGCTGAAAGTCTAGGTATTCTGGGGTCTCTGTTAACTAGGGCAAAGTTTTCTCCACCAGACTTGCAAAAAAAAAAAAATCTTCCTCAGTTCTTCCACTGGAGAGGATGTTATTTTGACTACGCTGATGGCAACCATGCATTGTAGAATACCCCCTTTCAAGAAGTGTGGCCAGTGTTTTAGGTCCTGGGGCCAGTGTGCATCCTCAGGAGGTGCCATTTTTAAGTCATTCAGCTGAATAACTTTTTTCCTTTTCAGATTTGTTGTGTCCATTTGTTTGGGGGGCTTCAAGATCCATAAGAAAGGCAAACTGGACACCAAAGTGCAACTGTGGGAGTGTACACGCGCAACTCCCTGACTCAAGTAATGGGAACTTAGGTCAGGATCCCATTGCATCCACTGGCACGCTAACTTCCACAGGTCACTATGCAAAACTACGACATTCCAGTGTTGTTGCACAACTGAACTGTATGCTTTGACTTGTTCTTTTGGTTGAGTTGGAGGGAGGGATTACTACAATTGTATTTTGTTTGCTAACAAATGCAAACGTCCTCTCATATAGCTCCAGAGACCGAATTGTTTGGTCTCTGGTGTTTGTGAAGACGGCCAGCACAAAAAGCCTTTTCTGACTTCTCGTCTGGGTTGTATTTGAGCAGGCTGGTGACCTCATTAGCAAACACAGGCTCTAGATCCTATAGCTTAAGTTCTCAAGGCTAAACTATGCAGTCTCCTAGGAGCAAGCGCATTTCGTTGCTTAAGGTAAACGGACTGTCACGAGGGATGAATGAAAGGACACAGGCCAGAGTGGTTTGTTGTGTTCTGATTCTGGGCACCAGGAAAACCTTTGGGCTTCCTTCTTTCCAGAGCCGCTCAACCACCATCACCCATTCTCAGAAATCAGGTAGCAAGGGCAAACACGAAAATGGGGAACCCAGTGGTTTGCTTCTTTTAACCTGTAGCCCATGTGTGAGTTGGGAAACTGAGCCAGACAGACGATGGTTGAACCTCTTCCACCCCCAGCTGCAAAGAGCAGCTGATTTGCTTATTTTTTTAAAATTGGAAAGTGAAATCTGAGAGGCACGACATCCTGGCGAGGAATTTTTTTTTCCTGTTTAGTTACTAAATTATTGATGAACGTTGGGATTGTAAACTGAGCCTTGCCCTTGGCAGGAGAGATTTGTGCTGCCTTGTTTGTTAGGTGGTGGGTTTTTTTGTTTTTTGTTTTACTGTGACGTATCACAGAATGCTTTTACCAGCTTGAGCACATGACTGGCACCCCACTCTTCAACTGGTGTGCTGGGGAAACAGGCCCTGTTGGTTTTACTTTTGTGTGAGCAAACTCAAGTTCACAGCCTTACTGGCTCTGTGCAGGTGATGCCCAGCAAGCAGTCAGAAGGCCGGGCCATGTACGAGTCTGGCCACTGTGACCTTACATGCCACGCTTTGGTGGCACACGTGGGAGCACTCGCCTTTGGGACCTTGCTTAACATACAGCTCTCCTGCAAAAATACTTTGGGGGCCAAACTCTGCTTTGCAGAATGAGAGCAAAAGAGTGGAATCCTGAAGCAGGTTTCCCAGTCTGAAAAACAAGAGCGCCTATGTTAGTGCAGCAAGAGAAGTCTGTTGCTAAGACTTTTCAGAGCAAGGTTTTAAGAGCTATCGTGCCAGTTGAAAGTGGGGAAGGAATGGCTCCCTGTTGGGGAGAGACATGTTCAAAATCCATTAGCGCAAGAAGCTGTTGGAAAAAGTAGTAAACTAAATTTTATCTGTTTTTCTATCTGCGTTGCTGAAGGCTACAAGATGGCTTGGGCCTTTTCAAGGTCTCTTGGGCAATCCTGCAAGACCAAATATGTATAATTTTAATAGGGGATTCCCCCCTCCCCCCAAACCCCCCCCCCAGTACTGTTCATTCGATATGTTCCAGTTTAATTTTTCATCTCCATTTCCAATCTGGGAAATATGTAAACACACACCCCCCCCCGATCTTTTTTTTTAATTTTATTTTTAAAAAACGTGGGAGATTCTCCTGCATTTGGTCTTAGCTTTCTTTTAGACTTTAAAATGGGGGATTAACTCGTCACCGTAGTGCTGAATCGTAAGGGGGTGTTTGCTGAACTCTTTGGATTATGGGTGAGCTGAGATGCCTCTCTAGGGTAATCCAGGGCATTCCACAGACTGCCCGAGATTTGATAGCTGGAAGAACTGATTTGAGCAAATACTGAGTGCCTTAATTGTGAAAGGTCAGAAGGAGAAACGGTGCAGAAGGTGGGCTGACTGCAGAACGAACCAATTTAAGTACGTTTGTGCGTGGGGGAGACGTCTCAGAGTAAAAAGTTGCCGAAATGGAGGTCTGATCTTCACATGTGACCGAATGAGACGAACCTGATCTGGCAGAGTGGATTGAACAAGCCAAAGGAGAGGAAGCTTTTTAAACTGTTCTTTTATGTAAAAATACACCCTTCCAAGTTTAAAACAAACTAGCACACTAGGGAAGGAGGTTCTAGCCTGTTCCTTTCCGTGCTGGTTTTTCCACTTGCCAAGAGGTCTGATTTTTGCATTTAATGTATGGGCCTACCGAATGTGTCGTTATCTCTGTGACCCGCGTGCCCAACACACACAATGCATTCTTGAAGTCGCACGGTCCATTCTCCCCTGCGAGGGCTACCGCAATCGACTCTGTCGCTCACATAGACCACGCCTCGACTTTTACGCTGATCTGTGGCGAGGACCCGGAAAAACTGCGAGGAAGACAGCAACGGAGCGCAGAGCACTATGCAATTCCCCCTCCCTCCCATCTGTCTCTGAGAAACGTTTTTTTCCAGCTCTTCTGATCAGTTTTAGTGCTCAGGAGAATTTCAAGCTACCGGCAGTGGAGGGAGGAGAGGGGCCTGGTCAGAAGGCAGAGGTTCGGCCCTACCCTTGTATAGCTAACGGCTCCTTCTTGCTTTGTGCCTTGTTAAGCTGTGACACATCCTGATCCTCTCTGTGGTTTTTATTTTTTACAAAAATGCAAGATTTGCTTTAGGGAATGCATTTCCTCACCCCGCGCCTGCTCTCCCCCCCCCCTTCATGATTCTTGGTTGAAATTGCCCACCCCGTCTGCCTCTGGAGGGGTTGTTTGTTTGCTTGTGTGGGAGCGGCAGAGTCCATTCTTTGCTCTGTGTAAACGATTATTTGCAAATTAAAAAGTATCCCTTTTCACACAATCGATTCTCCCGTCTTGTTTGAGCCACTTGGCAGCGCTCCCTGCCTCACTCGCACACACTTGGGAGCTCCTCATACACACACTGAGCGTACTCGCTCATCAGGCATGGTTAAAAAGGTGGTGGGGGGATGGGACAGAGGCTCTGGAACCAAAGGCACAGGGCTCAGATCCCAGCTAGATTCACCGGGTGATCCTCTGCACATGCCCGTCTTGGCCTCAGTTCTGCATGAGGGTGATGGGCAGTGTTCCCTCTAAGCTGATTTAGTGTGAGCTAGCTCACAGATTTTTAGCCTCCAGCGCACCCATTTTTATCTCCGCTCAGGAAGGATGGCCCCAGAGCAAACTGATTTATGCAGCGGCCAAACCGCTCGCTCACCACTTTATTGCCAGCAGCTCACAAAGTAGAAGTTTTTGCTCAACCAGGACTCCACACAGCTTACAGGGAGCATTGTGGCTGCGTCTACCATGCGGAGTCAGAATTCCAAAGGTGTCTACAGGTCGGGGCCCCTCAAGGTAGGAGAAGCTGTGGGAGCATCTACAAGCAGTGCAATGCACTCTTTCATTCCCTTGATCTTGAGGGGACTCCACACAGCTTAGAGGGAGCATTGTGGCTGCGTCTACCATGCTGAGTCAGAATTCCAAAGGTGTCTACAGGTCGGGGCCCCTCAAGGTAGGAGAAGCTGTGGGAGCATCTACAAGCAGTGCAATGCACTCTTTCATTCCCTTGATCTTGAGGGCTAGCAGCTTGTACATTCGGGTTACCATTTTGTGCATGAAATACTGGATTTTGTGTGACAGTCTAGGCATGATTCCAAGGTGACCATAATTTGCCATCCTTGCAGGTAGGCTATGGTGTTTTCTATATGTCGCTTTGGTTCTTACCTTGCCTGGTGAGGTGGCTTCCTTGCCTGTGCTCTGACTTGGGGCTGCCGGGAGCTGAATGTCAGCATTTTCACAAAGGAGAGTCCCTTTGAAGCACAGCTGGAATCCAGCCAGACCAGATCGTTGTGGTCTCCCCGTCAGTCGCTGTGGTTGAATTTCATGAAGAGAGGCTTAATTCAAGGGATTTGCTCATCGTGGAGTTCTCCACTGCTGGAAGAGAACCAGACGGACACCCAAAGCAACTTGGGAAAACGACGGAGAATTTAAAAGGCATCCAGATTGCTGTTTCTTTCAAAAGCTTTCTGTTTGCAACCCTTTGAGAGGCTTACAATCAATAATAGTTTAGGATGTCCAAAGCACGCTGATATAGATTATGGCACAAAAGCCCTCTAAAGTAAATTAGTATTATCTATCACAGTTGTATCCCTTTCTTCTGCCAAAGAGCTCAGGGCAATGTACAAGTTCCTTCACAACTTTGCATATATCTCTTTTTAGCTTCCTTTATATCACACCTTTCTCCCCAATAGCAACCCAGAGCAGCTTACAGCATTCTCCTCTCTGTTTGGTGTAGTGGTTAAGTGTGCGGACTCTAATCTGGGAGAACCGGGTTTGATTCCCCCACTCCTCCACTTGCAGCTGCTGGATGACCTTGGGCAAGCCATAGTTCTGTCAGAGCTGTTCTCTCAAGGACAGTTCTGGAAAGAACGCTCTCAGCCCCACCTACCTCACAGGGTGTCTGTTGTAGGGAGGAGTTTGTAAGCCGCTCTGAGACGCCGAGTGAAGGGTGGGGTATAAATCCAATATCCTCCTCTTCTTTCCTTACAACAACCCTGTCAGGTAGGTCAGGCTGACAGTGTGTGTTTGGCCCAAGGTCACCCAGTAAGCTTCCATGGCAGAGGGGAGATTTGAACCCGGGTCTGCCAGATCCTAGTCTGTCACTTAAATCACTACACCACACTGCATGGATCAAGGGTCCCATTTGTACCATGCTGCAACCTCTGCAAAACGACCACGCGTGCTGAGCTTGCATGTCCGCGTTGCATGGCCCCTGTCGACACTGCGCTGCCGTGTTAATTGAATGTGCGTCACTGGCTTTGCAGCAGTTGTCCCACAGTTCAAACAAGACGCTGGGAGCGTGTAAAGCTGCTCAGGTAAGCTCTTTGCCTCTCCAGCATCCACATCTAAATTGGGCCCTGTGTGCATATTTGCAAGAATAAAACCATCTGGAAATCTCGGGCAGAAAACAACTGGGGGAGGAAGGGAGGAAGAGAGACTGAGTGGGAAAATGACCCCCAGAGGAAGGATGAAGCGGTCTCGCCCTCTGATCAGAATTGCAGCCCCCTCTGCTTGCTTTTCATTTAAAACGGAAATTGGAGTTTTCGTGGTGTGTGTGTTCCTGTTCGTCCCTGAACCACTTTGCTGCCCCAGCTCCCCGAAGCAGCTGTAGCAATAAAAACAAATAAGTCAGTAGCAGAAGCATAAAACCATGTTAGAGTCACTGAAATCCAGGCTTTTAAAGAATGCAAAGAAAACCGTTTTCTTTACCTGTCTTCAGATCTCCAGAGATGACAGAAGCTGACAGATGTCTTTAGACAAAGCTTTTCCAAGGATGGGTTCCATTATGGAGGAAGTGCAAACAGTACAGTCGATTAATGGGGCATTTACCGTATGTTATGCACGACGAGGCTCTCATAAAATCTCAGCTGTTTCTCGTGCAAGTTTCTAGACCTCAAGGTTCCAGATTGTTTGTTTATTTATCATATGGCAGAGTTACATACAGGAAGCATATAATATAAAATACATAACCCCTAAATAGCAATATCTAAATTTTTAACCAACTCAATTGAACTTGAGAAACTGGGTGTTTGTGGACTCTAATCTGGGAGAACTGGGTTTGATTCTCAGCTCCTCCACTTGCAGCTGCTGGATGACCTTGGGCAAGCCATAGTTCTGTCAGAGCTGTTCTCTCAAGGACAGTTCTGGAAAGAACGCTCTCAGCCCCACCTACCTCACAGGGTGTCTGTTGTAGGGAGGAGTTTGTAAGCCGCTCTGAGATGCCGAGTGAAGGGTGGGGTATAAATCCAATATCCTCTTCTTTCCTTACAACAACCCTGTCAGGTAGGTCAGGCTGACAGTGTGTGTTTGGCCCAAGGTCACCCAGTAAGCTTCCATGTCCTGCTACAAAAAAGCCCTGGGTTTTGACAACAAACAAGGTAAGCAGAATAACAAGCAAAAGGTGGGTTTGGCTCGATAACCACTCTTCTGGTAACATGGGGGTGTGGCCTAATGTGCTAATGAGCTGTGCTGTCAGGGGTGTGGCACAATATGCTAATGAGTCCTGTTGTTGGGTGTGGCCTATTATGCTAATGAGTTCCTGCTGGGCTTTTTCTACAAAAAGAGCCCTGCCTTTGAGACGTCCTGACGGAGCACAAGCAGGAATGACAATAATGTGGATCAACGCAACCTCTCTCTAATGTCTTCCCAAAGCGCAGTGACGTTTCAGAGGTGGTTTGCCAT